AAAAAAAAAAAAAAAAAAAAAAAAAAATTCTGCTTTTCAATTCTCATTTCAAATATCTCATACCACCTACTAATTAGCCATCTTTGGTCAACACCTAATTATTCCAGAGTTCAGAGTCTAAGAACTGTATTCTTTAGAACTCCTTTAGTTCACTTTATCCCTACCAGAAGCTGAACAGTGGAAAGTTCCAACTTTTGCAACTCTAGAATGAGGTTATAAATGGGAGGAAGGGGGGGGGGGGGGTACCTGACAGTTGTTTGTTTTTTTTCAATCCACTTAAGCTCCCAGAGAGACAAAACACTTAAGTTCCAACACCAGCTTCATACAAAACACTTAAGTTCCAACACGAGCTTCATGCTTCCCTGTAAGCTTCAACCTTTCCAGCTGTAAAAAAGTTTACAGTATTTCTGAACAGATTGGATCAGTTGCCAAATAACATGAAGTCCTTACACAGAAGGCAACATGAACATCAAACTAAAAAATCGGCATAAAATAATATGGTATTATAATATCATCGATAAAAAGAGCAGTACTACTTACTAAATTTCAAAGCGAGAAAAACACACTGTTGGTCTCTGACTACAAAAGGTAAACATTATTTTTAAATAGATTTCTTTAAGAGATCCTATTAAGATCTTCAATGGCTGCTTTTCCTGCTTCTATCCTGTGCCGCCAAAACCTCTGGCCGGTATTTGAGGTGCTGTGACTCAGGGTCCTAAAAGTGTGACTAGTGTAGTCAGAACACGCAGCGCGCGCCCCTACAAGGCGCCTACAAGCTTTAATTAACAGAATTTGAAATCTCCCAATTCTCTAGCGGCTACTACTGAGTCCCTTCCATTCCCAGTTGTCCCGGCACACTGGTTTCCATCTCTTGAGGAAGCAAGGGCTTCAGACTCACCCCCAAAACGCTTCCTATATCAAGGTGGAGGCCCACATTTCCCCGCGCTCCGTAAGCACTCGTCAGAGAAGCGTTTGGTCTAACTAAGAAAAGAAACCTTGCACTGCTCCACCCAACAGGTGGGAAGGAGAAAGGAATGGACAGCTGGAAGCCGAGGCCAGGCCAAGCCTGGCCTCAAACACGGCGGGAGAGGGAGGCCGCAACCCCAGTGCGGCCTGAAACAAGGCAGGCCCCTTCCAGTCCCTCGAATCACCAACCCCACCCGCCAGGCCAATTCCAAGACGCCCGCCCCAGCTGACCTGATGACGGATGCCACTCAAGGCCATGAGCCGCAGTCTGGGCCAACCGAGCCGAGGATGGCACTTCCACCGTCTCCGTCCCACAGCCACCGCGGCAGCCGCCACCAACACCAAAGCCGCCTCGTCGAGAGCGCGGCGCGCATGCGTCGGTGTCCCAAGGGGCGAAGGAGTCACGTGGTTGTGCTGCGCGCAGGCCTCGCCCTCAGCGGGATCCTAGGGCCCCGGCCCCGCCCGGTCTCCGCCTGGTGTACGCCCCGCCGTCACCGAAGACCGGGCAGCTGCTCCTGCTGTTTTCTTCCCTCTGTGGAGACTTTCTAAGCTAGAAGACGGTGTGTAGGTCTTTTAAATTCTTGATCTTAAACACAGATACCGCCCCGCCCCGCCCCACCCCGGAAAGAAAAATATTGTAGAAAAATGTTGTCTTTTGGGGCAAGTGTAAGGTTTTTCCCAACAATTTACCATTCTCCCTAGACATCAACAGAAATTCGGTCTTAAATCTCCATACTTCAGGATGATACGGATTCTGGGTCCTCTCAGGTCTCCTCACGAGGAAACAGAAAAAAAAAAAAAGAGGAAACTGGTGGAAACAAGTTAGGGGCTTGAGGAACTGATCATTAAAAGGATGTGTAAGATTATCTTCTGGACAAATATGAAGGCTTCTTGCCTTGACAATCTTAGCAGTCCTCTCGAATTACACTCCCATCCTCACTTTAAAAATGGGTTTTTTTTCTTCCAATCCGGCCTCTATCCTGTTTCTGTTACAAGGTTCCTGAGTTCACACACCACCTACCATGAAATCTCTTGTTCAAGGTTCAGCAGTACCATAATTGCACTGCAAGTTCCTCCTTTGGAATCTGATTCCAGAAATATTTCTTTGCAAGATGGCATTTCCTGTGCACAACCCTGTTAATCGTAAATCCCCTCGATACTAACTTTGCTTCCAAATATGAAAAGCGGGGGCACCTGGCTGTCTCAGTCAGAGGAGCATGGGACTCTGTCTCCGGGTGCTGAATTCCAGCCCCCCATTAGGGGTAGAGACTTCTTAAATACAAAAATAAACTTAAAAAAATCAGTCTTCTTATGTCTACCTTTCACTTTCATCAAACTGTGTTGCCACTTTGCCTTTCCCTTTCCATTGGCACTTCTAATATTCAAGCTAACTTTTGGATTCTCAGTGCAGCTACACTTTTTACTGGTTTTAACTAGCAACTGTAGATGTTGACTATGGGAAGGAACAGTTAAGGGAATAATATATTGGAAAGACTGGCAGAATTTGCCCCAGCACTGTCATTCAGTGTTTCTGAGTGCCAAGCCGTCACTCCTTTTCTGGTTCTTCCAATCTTTCCTAAACTTATTACAAATTCTTCATCAGTAAATAAGATTAGCTCTGAGATAGCATTCCCCTCCAATAGCCATTTTGTAAAAATCTATCTACTTATTCTTTATTCACTGCAGATTCATTGTTTCTCTTTATCTAGTTTTCTACATCTTACCTTTCCAACCAGTCAGTGCTCTTGCTCTCACTCTCCTGCTTTAAAATCTCCACTGTTTTTTTTTTTTTTTTTCCTGATAAATCTCTTGCCATTATGGCATCTGCTTTTTGGAAGACCCAGACTAACACAAAACCTCACATAAATGTGAAATTTAAATGCAATGTGTTTTCTCCTAATTGATTACATTACCTTCCATATGTCAGTGACTCATGCAGTGGACATTTTTTGTTTTAGCATACAAAACCCTCGCTCTGTTTGGGACATCACCTCTCTCTGAAGCAGAGAGCCTACATTCCACTGTAGGAGCCAAAACTACTAGACACTTACTTTCCTAGTCCCCCTACACACACGCACGCGCACACGCGCGCGCACACACACACACACGCACACACTTAGAGATATGCACACATGACTCTTAAGGCCAGGATTCATTGTGGGAGTGTGTGGTATCAGTGGGTGATGTGGTACCTCTCCTCTATAATACTGGCAGTAGTGTTTTCCCCAGACCAGCTCTGTGATGCAATTTGGACATTCTTACTAGCTACCTAGCCTCATAAAAAACTATAATAACAGATGCTTTTTATGAACTCTCTTCTGTTTGAATTAGGCATCTACAGGGGCTCCTGGGTGGCTCAGTTGATTAAGCATCCAACCCTTGATTTCTGTTCAGGTCGTGATCTCATGGTTTGTGAGTTCAAGCCCCACATTGGGCTCCACACTGACTTTGTGGAGCCTGCTTGGGATTCTCAATGCATACAGTACACATATGGCATAAAACTGCAGCCATCTAGAATGACGTGCCCATGGAAGGCAAAACTTTTGGCAGAAAATGAAGGGTGGGGTGGTTATTTATACTAACACTGGACAGCTTAAAGACAGTGATAAGATCAGATTTCTAAATTCTTAGCTTAAAGTAGGGACCAAAAATCAAGGACTTCCTCTGATAGTAACAAAAGAATTTATTCTTCGCAGCCATGGGCCTAAAAGAGCCAAATACACTCAAAGTCTGAGCCCACAGATTGCCAAATTACAATGTCAGTTGAATTCATAGCCTTGTCAGAACTCTTCTGTGAAGATTAAGGCATCGTTCAGGAAAGAGCAGAACCAAAGAAATGAAATGGGCACATGGTAGAATTCAAATAATTTGAAGTATCTTTAACTCATAACCTCTCAGTGTTTGAGCCTCATTCATCAAACAAAAGCAACCCCTTCTCACTGGTCTGAAGAGATCATTCCTGCCTTATTTGGAAATCTATATAGACTTCACCAAATATACATATATGCGTATATGTCAATATGTAATATTATAAGTATATATAATACATATTACATATATATAATCTCATCTAAAATTATTTTCTTCTTCGTCTAGCCCTCAATGATATTTCTCATGTATTCTCCACACTTTTGTCAAGGTAAATTTGTAAACTTTCAACTGTCTTGCTATTTAAGTCTTGCTATACAAGTTTGACATTATAACTGGCCCCCAGAATATGCTGGAATCTGATTCTAAGTTGAGGAAAAATGTAAGTATTGGGAGTAGAGAATGAGAAAAACTGGCCTCTTCATGCAAGGTTACATTTTTCCTCAACTTAGAATCAGATTCCAGCATATTCTGGGGGCCAGTTATAATGTCAAACTTGTATAGCAAGACTTAAATAGCAAGACAGTTGAAAGTTTACAAATTTACCTTGACAAAAGTATGGAGAATACATAAGAAATATCATTGAGGGCTAGACGAAGAAGAAAATAATTTTAGATGAGATTATATATATGTAATATGTATTATATATACTTATAATATTACATATTGACATAT